TTTTTTTTTTTTTTTTTTTTTTTTTTTTTTTTTTTTTTTTTTTTTTTTTTTTTTTTTTGTTTGTTTGTTTGTTTGTTGTTGTTCGTTAAGCAGTAAGCACTTCTATTGACAAGTTTTACAGGGATGGTTTCCTTTCCTCGTGCGAATACAGGTTGTGTGTTCGAAACTCAGCTCGGCGAGGCTGCGATGTATTAGTTGGAACTTTTGAGTTCTTGGTTAGTATTGCTTTATTTCTTTGATTGTTGAAGTTCAGTCAGTAGTTTTCAATAATTACATTTACAATGGAGGAATACTTACAACTGATGGGAATTTCATGTTCATCCCGCTCAAAACAACAGAGTTGAGGTTTAAGCATTTGAAAAATGAGAACTTAAGATTAGTTTAAATAACTCGGGTCAACGGCCCGAGAAATATCGATTTCAAAAGCTTGCAATCACTGTTATAAAGAAAAGTGTGTTATATATATGTCGTGAATTGCTACATGGAACGTGGAATGTTGGATTAGGTTTGAGTTCAATCTTACATTGTGAAAAAAAGGTTGGTTCATGACATTGTAAGGTAGAATTCATTTATTTATAATTTTCTTTGTGGAAAAAGGTCAATTTATATTCTTATACTATTGGTCAATCATTGTATCAATTTAAAGATCGTTTAAAGGCTAAACTTTTTTAATTGAGTTAGGAATTTGTAATTATTTTTACTTAAATTTATTGTAAATAAAATTTTATTTACGATAAATTTAAAATCAGTAACAATACAAATTATTGCACATTCTCAAAGGAGAAAATAGTGTGAAAATTATATACTAATGATCCTCAAACAAAAGTTTAAATTGATTCTTGGGGTTTTAGATCCTCGTAAAATTCCTTTTCTTAATACTCCTATTCTCCTTTCATTCGGAGTTGCCGTTATTTGGGCTCGTCATGCTATACTCGCAGAGAAGAAAAAACAAGTAGTTTACACTTAACTAGGAATGGAATATTATCAAGCACCGTTCACTATTTCGGATAGTATTTATAGTTTTACCTTTTTCTTAGCTCAACAAGTACAACATTTTGTACATATATTTGTGTATATATATCAGTCTACATCCAATGCAAGGATTTTACATCACAATATTTATTTCCATCATTACAGAGATTAAAGACAATTTAATACGTTTGGAATATAAATAATTATGAGGAAAAAATGACAGATATCGTCAAACTAAATATTATTTATCTGAAATTAATAGGAACAATCAATACGAAGTCAATGCAATCCTGTGGTCTTCTTTTCTCTCCTAATTGAAGTAAAGGGTTTTTTTTTTTTTTTTTTTTTTTTTGTGTGTCATTCAATTATTCAATAAATTACAATAAAGGTCAGCATAAATTAAATCAGCATCACATGACAGCAAAATCAGAGGGTATTAAATACCACACAAAGGTTGTTGTTCCAAGTTGCCTTTTGGCAATCCTCAAAATTGATGCCTCTCCTGCGACACAGGCCGACCTTTGATGTCATTACATTCTGACCTCTATGCCTTCCTTTAATAAATGCCCTTTTACGGACTGAATAGCCACCTGTCATCCACACCACTAGATGCTTAGAGGGACAACATACCTTTCTTTTTCCCTCTCTTTTTCTAATAATCAAGTAGAAAAAGTGAAAGATTACACGACAATACAGAACACACAAGCCCACTAAAAGGAAGCCAAATTTGTGAAAGAACACACGAGAATACAAAAACAGAACCCCACAAAAAAGAAGCCAAATTTCAAGAAGTTTCTATCAAGTAAAATATGATTTAGCGGATAGTTACAAAAGACTTAAAAACAGAAGTCCAAATATCAACCGACCAACCATTGCTACCAGAACTATCCCAACTCCTGAAGATATATGATCTTTCTACCTCGAAAGATCTCACAAAATGAGTCAAACTCCCGACTTTTCATAAAAATCCCCCTTTCCCATGGAAGGGAACAAACCATTGGAAGATTGCTCATATAACTGGTAACCGTAAGAATATGTCCTGAGACAGATTTTCAGGTACAACGGCTAATGGTGAAAATTACTACTTTTACCTACAAATTTTTTTGTTTGGTTAATTATTAGTTTCAAAATTCAAGCTAAATTTAAAAAATGAAAAAAAAAAAAAAAAAAAAGAAGAGTAGTTTTTAAAAACTTATTTTTTGATTTTCGAATAATACAAATGTTTTCTTAACCATAATGAAAACCATTGGAAAAAAAAAAAAAAATAGTGTGTTTTAAAAACCCAAAAATAAAAATCAAATGGTTATCAAATGGAGAAGGTTAATCACAATCTTATGATAATACAGCTAGGCTGACTGATTTTAGACCAGTTAAGAATTCGGGGTGTGAGCTATGATTTTCCTAGACCTACGGTGCATCAAATCTAAGAAGTTAGTATTAATGATGTTCAGACTTAATAGAATTAAATGTCATATAGCTCCCCGTCTTACACACTATGCTAAATGAGCATATAGGTGACAGTTAATCACATGCTCTCGGAAAATCAGGGGCAAAGAACGTTTCAAACTTGATTAAATTAAACGACAGTTTTATTCTAAATAAATCGTCAATCGAGGCTAAAATATGGTACCAGATCATTTGGTGTTTGTATGCACAGCTAAGATAAAGGGATCTCAGGGCATACCTCCTTGCGATGGAAAATGCCAGCAGCTAAGGCAGCAGATGCATTTGTCTTGTTGAACACCTCTGAGAAATGGTCAGAACACCCAGCACCGCTGCTGGCAATAACAGGGATGCTCACAGAATCCGATATCAGCTTTACTAGATCTAAATCAAATCCTTTTCCTTGACCTGAGAAAAATTAGTTAGAAACAAAATTAGATTGTAATAGTATTTAAGAAGACAGATTATCCTCCATACAAGAGCAAGAAGTAAAAGCATGCATGTTTTCTCAAACAATTATTTACATGTTTCTCAAATAATTGGGAGCTGGGAGGTTCTTTCTAAGAAGATTGAAATTCCCCAATCGTATTGCTCTTCCCATAGTCAACCTCAAAGCATTGGGGCAGTCTACGACTATTTGAATCGATTAAGGAATCAAGCTTCTAAATAGGCTTCTCTTTCAATCATGGAAGGCTAGACAATCTCAGTCGAGAAGCAAAATTGAATTTATGAGGCTTCAGATAAATTCTCAAACAGGCCCCCTCCTCACCATCATACCTCATCAAGGATTCCCCATTAATCGAGGGTATTTGAAAGTCCATAGTTTCCAGTTCAAATGAGGAAATGTCTTAGCAGGTGGACCCCGTTGAAGATTGTTGAGAGAAAGTCCCACATTGGCTAATTTAGGGAATAATCATGGGTTTATAAGTAAGGAATACATCTCCATTGGTATCACCTTTTGGAGAAGTCCAAAGCAAAGCCACGAGAGCTTATGCTCAAAGTTCAAAGAAGTCATTTGACCTTTACCTCAATCCTCGCAGGTTATGTGAACAAGGATGTTGAAAAGCATGGAACTGCTTATATTCATTGCTACTTTGTTAGTAATCAGTGGTGGGTCTCTGCGGACAGCAGTGGGGCTAAGCCTCAATCTTCAAAGAGAGTACGTAGGAGAGAGAGCTATAGAGGGAGAGACATGATAGTTATGCAATTTCTTACGGCCAGTTCATACATAATAGTTATGCAATTATGACCGAGTGGTAAGTCTTTTGCAACCTTTGTAGTTCTTGTAATATGTAGTAGGAGGTTTCTGATTGAAAGAAAACAAAAAGGAAAAAGCGAAGATGATATTTATGTTTGGAAGAGAGTGATTATTGAATGTTTATTGCATGGAACTGTCATCCTTACCATCACAATCTATGCAATTTAGCAGTATTTCTCCAGCTCCAAGCTCCTCAACTGCTTTTGCAAGCTCATAAGCTCCAATAGGTCGACCTTCTCGACCTCCATTCACCTAGCGAACAAAAAAAAAAAAAAAAGAATGGTTTAAAGAAAATTTTTGAAGGTGGAAGCACTGAGCAACAAACTCCAAATTCTAGATTTCTCAACAAAAGATACGAGCCCAAACAATTTGAATTAAAAAAAAAAAAAAAAAGAATGGTTTAAAGAAAATTTTTGAAGGTGGAAGCACTGAGCAACAAACTCCAAATTCTAGATTTCTCAACAAAAGATACGAGCCCAAACAATTTGAATTAAAAAAAAAAAAAAAAAGAATGGTTTAAAGAAAATTTTTGAAGGTGGAAGCACTGAGCAACAAACTCCAAATTCTAGATTTCTCAACAAAAGATACGAGCCCAAACAATTTGAATTAAAAAAAAAAAAAAAAAGAATGGTTTAAAGAAAATTTTTGAAGGTGGAAGCACTGAGCAACAAACTCCAAATTCTAGATTTCTCAACAAAAGATACGAGCCCAAACAATTTGAATTAAAAAAAAAAAAAAAAAGAACTATCAAAAAAGGAAAAAAAGAATTATATTTAAAAAACGACATTCTTTTAGTCTCTATGTCTCCCCCCACGTTGAAATTAAAAGTAAATTTTATTTCTACCTTTTATGACTCTCCATCCCTTATTTTCTGACAATTTTCTAAAAACCAAATCTTTCCCTCACCTTGCTTTTAATATAAGTTCTCTTTAAGAGAAATTTGGGGAAGATAAAAGAAATAATAAATAAATAAAAACCAACTGGGAGTTTTCTAATCTCAGTTTCAACTGAAGCAAAAGTGTGTCGTAGTAACTCAAACTCTCAATTTTGTTCATGAAAAACTAGGAGTATATTATTGGCAGCTTGTTGAAAAGAAATTTGCATTCAGAAAATTTCAATGCGAAGTAAATGTGAGAGTAAAAGTAGTACTTACTGTACACTGATACCATGCATATTCTTCTCCATTAGGACCTGAAATCAACATAAATTCACCTTTATAAATTCAATCCAAGCTCAAACAGATTCTCTCAAACGTATAACCATATCAAACTTGGTCTATCAACAAACACTGCTTAATAGTTCCCATTGTCATGCATTTCACAAATTCATCAAGAGAGAAATAAAACATTGCAAGGGCAGGATTCACCATCATTGTACACCTCTAAGCTACAACAGGGGCTAGAGGGGTTTTGAGGAGACAATGGAAATGAAATATCCATTTACCTGGGTTAGTAACTCGAATGACTTTGAACTCCACATCATCAGGACTTTTAAGGTACACTCTTCGAGGATCAATACTTATCACGACAGCCTGAAATGTAGATTTTGGACGAACTCACTGAGATTGCTATTATTCAGGCTATCGAGAACAAAGACTAAACGTCTATGTACACTAAATTAATAAATTGTTTGGTATTGTACAAGCCTCTTCAGTGAGTGAAACAGTTAATCACAAACAGGAACAAATTATAGATGTGGTTAACTAGACATGACAGAGTTTAAGAAAAAGGAGAGGAGAAGTGTCGGGTAATTTGTTAAATGCTTCCATTACCGGAAGCCAGAAGAATAAGGCCGTCATCCAAACAGGTAAAGCAAAAATGCAAATTACACAGTTTGGACAGACAGCACCAAATTGAAGTTAACGAACTGATAATAATTCTATACTGTCGGATGAAAGATAATCATACAAAACTGTAGTGTATCTTGCTATCTGATAAATTTTTCTTGCTTTTCATTTTAAAACTAATTTCTTGCATAGTAACCCAGCTATAGGTGACCACAATCTAATTACCAAAAATGGAGAAAAAAAATGTTATTTAGAAAATGCAGGTAACAAGGAAAAGCAGACACTGCAGCAGTACCAACAAGTCCTTTGGAAGCTGGACCTTATATTTCAATACCAGGATTAAATACATGAATGATAAGAATGATAGCCGGCGCTATTGATATTACTCACCTGATTTCCATAAACAGTAGAAATCTGTTCCAAGCTGCTCTTTCCAGTCTTTACCTGATAGCAGATATTCAAGAACCATATAAGTGAAACGACCATGCACACAAGTAAACTCAAAACAGATTATTGATATAACACTTACACCAGTTCTTAAATATTCCTCAGCAGCATAAACTGCATCACTTCCGATAGATATTTTATCAGCTCCAGATCTGAAATATTCTGAAGCAACTTCCAAGCTAGAATAGTGTCTGACAAGGATATGCATAACAAACCGTTCGTGAAGTAGATCGAAGCAGCATAACTGCGTAACCTACTACCCGTAAAGTTGATCAAAGTATTAAAAAACAATAAGTGCGCTTAGTTAATATAAAGAGCACACCTGCCATTTGCATCCGTAAAATCTCTAATTCCGCCACCAACAGTCAATGGTACAAAAACATTTTCTGATGTGTATCGCAGCACCTATGATGAGTACCATGGAGGATAGAGTTTAGAAAAAGAAATAGAACAAAAATTACTTATCGGGCAACAATATAGTGGAACATTATTGCAAATACAATCTAACTAACCTGCAACATTGGCAAGTCGCCAAGAGGGAAGTCACGGAAACCAGTTATATTCAAAAAACTGACCTACAATTTGACATCATAAGAACCAAGCAGATTAAAAACCGAATAGTATCATTTTGAAAATAATAATTTCCTGGAGGATGACAGTTTTTTAGATAAAATGTGGTGGGGCATACCTCGTCAGCTCCATCCTTGTAGTACTGTCCAGCAAGCTCAACCGGTTTGCCAAGGTTCCTCACCTAAACATAAAATAATAGCGTCATTTCCATAAAATGAAGCATCTTCCTTCCTAGCAAATTGAAAGACCATGGGAACTCTACCCTAATCAGTCCCTCAAAATAAAAAAAGCTGGCATTTTAGCCACTGGTATTAAAATAAACTGCCAAACAGCATTGTGTAAAATAAACAAGTTGTGAATTAAGGTCCTATATTTATATATTTATAACTAACTAAATTTTCCAGGACATGGTTACATAATTGATAAATCCAGTACAAAGAAAAGTTATTGCAAATTGTAGACAGCCAGATTTTTAGCTGGTATTAGGATTTTCTTTGAATCTCTTTTTGAAAATAGAAACGCAAGAATCTCGGCATTCAATTGGCACATGGTCCTCCCAGAAGATCCACACCTTCTCCTTTCATTGACTCTTCCACAAGGACGAAGAAGACTTTGTGGGAGAATGTTATTAGAGCTTTTTGCTGGAACATTTGGCAAGAAAGAAACAGAAGAATCTTTCAAGAAAGGGAATCATCCTGCTTTAGATTTTTGTAGGCTATAGTTAAACAGTTGTGACTTGGTGTAAATGCTCCCTCCCTTCCATCACTATAGCTTTGCTACCCTCCTAACCAATTGGAGAGGTCTTTTGAGACTATCCTTTTGGGTTTCCCCCATCTTTTGTAACTTCATACTATGAATGAAATGATTTCTTATCCCAAAAAAAACCAATAGATATTTTTCAAGGAAAACAAAGCATAAAAGGATCCTCAAAAGGGAGGGAAAAAAACTCTCCAAGAGCCATGACCTGTAATATAACAAAACCTACTACAATTAACCCTACCTTTTACCCAAAAAAAAAGTAACTAAAGTCAGATGTATTCGAGGCCTAGAGTTATCTGCTGAACTGCGAATGCATCACACCTCAAAAGACCCTCTTTCCATCTTTAAAGACTACAACTATACCAATATATACTGCCTTCCTATAACTGAAAATACTAAATGCACCTCTAGCTGGGAAAATTGTTTAAAAGCTTTTATATAGAAAATGTTTTCACAATTGAGCATCCAAACTAACTTACACATGCCCCAACCACTTACTAATCTTATTTGACAACTGTATCAAAATGTTTAATGTGGCATGAAAAACTAGTATACCTCATTCTCTTCTGATTGCTCCCTTACGTCATATTGGTCCCCTTTGGTAACAACAAGATCCCCTTGATCATTTGTCCGCACATCAAGACAAGCAATTACCTAAGAGAATTAAAAAGATTTGGTGACAATCTCCCCTAGCACAGTTACAGAGGACAATTTTTTTTTTTTTAACAAGAATATGTACAGAGGACGGAAGGATGGACATAAATACCCCAAAGTGGGATAAGAAAAATGATGAGCTTTTTGAAAGGCTTATTACCCTCTGAGGGCTCTGCCTTGTGGGGGTAAGAATATATAAGTGAAAAACGTAAATTAAAATGAAGGTGTTATATTGTTAGAGTTGAGTGATTATTACCCTTTTTGCAAGCCTTGATGCCTTCCCCTCAGTAGGTTTCTGTCTTAAATGAACATTTAAATTGTTAGTTAACCTAAAAAAAACGAGATGTAGATAACATGTTTACGTCCAAGAATGAAAGTTAACATACCTTGGTCAAAGTTGACTTTGGAAGCAAGAATCTTCTGAGGACAGACAGGCCTACATCTGATAATTATACATATGTGCCACTAATCATCAAAAAGTACGCAACCATACGGAAATTGTCTAACAAAGAGTTATAACAGGCCAAGGAGAAAACTAGATCGGATTAAATCAATCATGAAAGACTGTAACAATGAAGTAGTTTACGCCACTAATCTAAAGCAGTAAAACTCAACTAAGACATCAAGTTTTTTCTTTTTCCACTTGTTTTGTATTTAAATTTAGAGGAAGAAACTTATCATCCATTTTCTTTTTTCTTTTTTAAAAAAAGGAACAACGAGCACAAGCAAATTATATTTTACCTCCACTCTTTTCTGGGTGGAATTGAACTGCATGGACATTTCCCCTTCTAACTGAGGCTATAAACCTGTCACCATAGCTGCAAGTAGAAGAGATCCACTCCTTGTTCTTGTCAGACTGAAATATGAGAAAAGAATGAGGACACCCGTATACAAAATGTTGAGAGAGAAGGAAAGTGTTCATCAAAGATCATGTGGAAAAACAATTATATCAAACTAAACATTATCTTACTGGCATAGCACGGTAAGAGTGAACAAAGTAGACATGACGATTACAAATATCATCCAAGATCTCAGAGTCATCTGAGATTTCCAAAGCATTCCACCCAATATGGGGTACACTAAAACCATTGGAAGAGTCGAAACGCCCAACCACACCCGGTATTAAGCCAAGTCCTTTTACTGAAACACATAAAAAGTGTAATTCAATCTTATCATAGAAAAAGCGATTTCAAAATAATCATTTAATTCAACCTCAAGAAAAGACCCTTCAAGCAAGTGATTTTCATGTGTTTCTTCGGTAGAATGCCCTCATTGTTGGGTTATGGGAATTTGTGAAGGAGAAGAATTAAAGGACATTTAATATGCAAAGAGAATTTGATTTCCTTGACTTAATATTTTTGTTACTTTAAATTGGTGCATCCTCTCAAAAGAATTCTAAACTTATTCCTCCCTTCTTATTTATGCCTTGGCCATGTCTTCTTTGTAACCTCTTATCCTCTTCAACGAAATGTTGAGACATTCTCCATTCAAACAAAACATAAAACAAATGCAAAGATCAGTTTCAAACCTGGTCCATTCTCGTCACTTGATTCGAAGAGTAATTGAAGCCCAAGACAAATGCCTAAAAATGGGCGATCATTCTCAATATAAGTACAGAGTGCTTCAGCCATTCTGCAAAACATCATACGTACTCCAAACCATAAATACTGTTTACGTCTTTTAATTTGCACCATTCAACCCATTCTGGATAGTTTATTTCAGTACTAAAAAGTTTATAGCACGTGTGTGTTAAAATTAAAAGAGGCTAAAAATAAATAGTTACCCTTTATTGTTTAGCACATCCATGGCTGGAGCAAATGCCCCAACTCCAGGAAATATTAGGCGTTTTGCATTCAGAATGTCCTCTGGAGTTTGCACCTAAAAATCAGCTTTCATATGTCAAGTTCTTGCTAGATGGTTACAACAAGAAAATCATCATAAAAAATGGCATGAGGCACACTAAATACTCATTGACTAAACTAGCAATAACAACACTGGAATTCAAAGTAAAGGAATCGGTACAAGATTTTCAACAGATCATAAATCTAGATCAAATGCCAAAAAGCATTCCGATAACAAAAACTATTTTAATCAAATTCGAAGTACAAACTGCTGCAAGTTCAATCATTAGCTGTCTCATTATCCTATTAATTTCTCTATTACAGCGCAAAATCCATACAAGGCCAAACAGAAAGAGATAGAAAGAGAATCTCACATCTTTAATGTCGAAGCCAAGGTAACGAATTGCATTCCTCACACTACGAACATTACCAGCACCGTAATCCAGCAAAGTCACGACTATAATAACAAGAACGAGAAAATTAGAAGGAGAGCATTGAAACGAGCAACAAACTCCTTGGCACAGAGAGAGAAAGTACCTGAGTCACCCGAAAATGAGGCACGAACCGCAAACTTACCGGTGGACTTAACTTTGAGATGACAAGTTTTGTAACGATTATTGCGAAGAAAAACGAGAGAGCTGGTATGAAACGACGACGGAAATGATCGAATTACAGTCCGAGAAGAAGAAACAGCGATAGAGAACGGCGTTGCTTCCATTAAAATCAGTGGAACTACACTGCCGGCAGGAACTGTACCCGTGAAGTCTGGACGACGGAGATTTCGAGCTTTGATTGAATTGGCAATGGCAGGAAGAAGAGAGCACCGGTGTGGCGGCGTTCGACTGAAATGGCCAACTAACCTCCGTGGGTTTTTAATTTTTAATTTTTTTTAATTATTATTATTATAACCATTAGAATGATGCTTGGTCAATGTGTTGGAAATAAAATACTACAAAATGCTGACGTGGAATTGAAAGAATACTTTTTTAAAAAGGTTATAAAACTTAATTAATAAAAATATTCTTCAACATTTAATAATACCTTCAAAAAAAAATTTAAAAAATTAAACATATCTTAAATTTTCAAAAATAAAAATAAAAACATATTTATATTTTATTTCAAAAATATTCTTACGTTAAAATAGTTTAAAAAATAAATATTTTTCAATTTACAAAATTTGGTTAATACTCTTCCACTTTTTCTAAAAATTTCAGAAATATCCTCAAATATTTTTTTAATTTCAAAATTTTCAAAAAAATACTCATAAATTTTGAAAATTAATATTAAGAATTTGAATTAATCTATAATTTTATCTACATATGGATGGTAAAAAAAAATTATTATTATTATTATTATTATTTAAGTAAAGAGTATAGTAGTACTTTTAAATTTTTTCAAAAAAGGTAAAATTAAAAAATATTATTAAAACTTTTTAAATTTTAAAATAAAATACTAACCATTTCAAAAACTAAATTTAAAAATATTAATGAAATTTTAAATTTTAATAATGGATATTTTTATTTATAATTATTTTACATTTGTTTTATTTAAAATCTAAATAAAATTGTTATTATTATAAAATCTTAACAAAATATCAATAAAAATTATGATCCAATTTATTTTTAAAAGTAAATAGAGATTACGAAAATTAAAAAAATTATATAATTTTAGAATGAAATCATAATAAAAGTACAAATTTTTAATTAATAGAAACAAATTTTTAATTATTTAATATTTAATATAATTATGTATAGTTCATTAAAAAAAATAGAAAAATAAAGACAACACTTTGAAATTTCCTTAATAAAATATGCATTCGAATATATTTATTCTTGCAAGCAATATATTCTTTCTCAATATTCTACTCGATCTTATACAATTATTTATTATTTTTATTTTTCATTTCTTTTTAAAATAATAATTTATAAATTATATTAAAATTGTCTCTTTTTTTAATATATAAATTTGAAAAGAAAAATATTCGTACAAATTTCCCAAATATTGGGAACTTTTGGGCATGTATTCTCATTTAACTACGTCATATTAAGGGCAAATCCGTAAATTAACCTTTCATTCAATTTAATAATATATTCATAGACTATATATATATATATATATATATATATATATATATAATGGTATATATATATGTAAAGCCACTTAAATTATTTCAATTTTGCCCTTTAATAATTTTAACAAAGCCCAACAAAATGGAAGCCCACTATAGTAATTAAACAGCCCATCATATTTGAAAACATTATTCCAATTATAATGAAAATAAATAAATTATCCATTTAATTTTAAACTTTGAAGATTTAATTACAATTTTTAACTTTTTTGCTTTTGATTCGTAAAATTCTTTTTTTTTTTATTTAAAAAAAAAAAACCAATTAAAACGAGAAATCACGGTGTAGTGTTAATAAAATAGTAGGTTAATAAGATAAAATAGGAACAGATGAACAAACGGGAAAAAAAATGGTGGTGTAGATGAGTGAACATGTTTTTTCTCACGTGTAACGACCAAGATTCGATACGTAACGATCAATGTCCAGCACGCTTAATCATAGAGTTACTGTAATTCAGCCACTGGAAATGAAAGTGCACCTTGATGGGACAGTAGTGACTTTCAATTCTTTTAAGTCTTTATTAGTCATCCTATTCTCAGGATCGCTCTCATTCGATAGTAGTCTCGGTTCATTCATGTACCTCTCATTTACTCGGGTGTCACATCACATCTCGTAATTTTATTTAGCTAGCGGGTTTCATGGGTCAAAAATGTTAAAAATTGCATTTTATCCATATTTGTTGAAAAAAAAAAGTCATAAGGGCAAATACGACTTTTTACATGTAACAACAATGGCAAATTGGTCCATTTAAAAACTGTTAAAATATGCACTTTTTTCATGCATTGTTTAAATAAAAATATTTCAAAGTCACAAAAACAACATAATTAATTCAATCATTATTAATTATTAATACAATCAATGTCTTGGTTTCAAAAGTCAATTAGTTAATTTATTATTTGAAATTTGAAATAATTATTTTTATGGACATTTCAAATATTTTATTATTATCCATTTTGAATTTAAAATTTTAAAACACATAATTATATTAAAATTTATAAAAGAAAAATCTAATAAATATACTAATTTATGTTAAAATATAATATATTATGATGTTGTAAATAATTATTCTACAAAATTTATAAAAAGAAACATATTCATAAATCAATCAATAATATTATATTAAATATATCATTTCTTTAAAAAGTTAAATCCAACATAATTCAACTATATATATATATATTGAAGATAAGGAGTTTAAATATTAAAAAAAATAAAACAACACCAAAAATAGAAATTTATAATGGATGACATATAATTATCATAAAAATTTGAAAATTATTGGGCCCATTAAAAAGAGTTGACCTTGAGTAGCAATGACTTTGTCCTCCAACCTAGTAGTAGGGGTTGACATTATGAAGTGTCAACTCATTTTAATATTGAAAATATATGGTCCTCATCATTAAATAAAATATGAAATAAATAAATAAATAAACTATGGACAATGCACCATTAATGGTTGAAAACATTTAGGTAATTGATTCATGGAATTGAGACAAAAAGTACAAATAAATTCATTGACTTTGCAAAATAGTTTATTTATTTATTTATTATTATTTTATTTAAGTCAAACAGCTGTGCAGTTTCCACCACAAGTCAACTCAACATCTAAGTCAAACCACTTGAATGTGAACAGAATATGTTGCAAACCCACCTACAAAATTTAACTGATTAAATTAATAAAAATACATTTAAATTTTGCATATTACTTAAAAAAAATATTTAAATTGTAATTTAATTTAATTTTCATTAATTAATTCATATAATTATTTTTATTTTGTATTTATTTTTCGTTTAACTAAAAAAACGACAGCGACCACCACCTATCACAACAATATGTTATGGGTGCTACGTCCATTTGTATACAAAAAATTATTATTTTTTAAATTTAATAGTTAAAATTTTAAAAAGTAATTATCGTATCAGCTTCTCGTTGGCAATTAATATAATTAATAAAAAAAAATACATAACTTTATCTTTTTGGTTGTTCTTGAGATCGAAATGATTAAAAATTTGAAAACTCGTATTAACTTTTAGAAAATTAAAATCCCACGTTTAAATCAAAGGCCAATGTTGAGAATGACTTTCAAATACTTTAATGGATTAAAGTGTAATTTCACAATTGTTTTATTTTAATTATATATATATATATATATATATATATATATATATATATATATATATATATATATATTATTCTAAAATTTGAGTCAAAATTTTAAAAAATAAGACAAAGTGGGTTATAAAAAATTACATTGGATTCTTTTTCTTTGATCAACTTTTAAATATTTAAAATAATCCACTTTTATATATATATATATATTATAAATGACGTCATTTTTATTTAAAGTTATATAATGTGTCCTAATTTGATTGGTTATTTTTTTTCACGTTCAACTTTAAATTATGTCTTTTTAATTAATTAGGTAAGACGATGTAAAAAATATAAAGACGGGAAAGTTTGCGTAGACAAAACAAAGTTTGAAGTGTAAAATTAAGGAAAATATAACTGGTAGAGAATCTAAATCAATCCGAGAGGTCATTCAACCCTAGATGTCTGCTAGTTTTTGCCTTTGTTCGTCTCTTAATAAAAGTAATAATTTTTTATCTAGGTTTTCGTTCTTACTATCAATTTGGTTGTTCTTTAATACCTTTCAAGTAAAGCTAAATGATTGAAACAACAAACGTCTACACGGGTATGATATTGTTTACTTGAGCATAAGCTCTCGTGGATTCTCCAAAATGTCTCGTATCAATGGAGATAATATTCCTTACTTATACCCAAGATCTTTCCCTTAATTAGTCGATGTGGTATTTGAATAATCATCCCCTCAAACAAGTACATCACGATGACTCCACTTCTCTGGAACACATTGCTAGTTCAGGAAAGTTCTACCACGAATCCTCACTATGACTATATGTTCGAGGCTTACACAGACACCTTCGAGCCTTACAATTTTTTTTTGTTGGACACTTAAGTCACATAGTCAAACAAAGACTACACCTTCGAGACTTACAATTTTTTTGTTCGACAATTGAGAATTGTATTGATATAGTTAAGTTAAGATAAAAGACGTGATTCCAATACCACTAAAAAAATAAGACATACGATATCGTAACTTTACTTTTAGTTTTTCATACCTAGAATCTTTTATTTAATTAGCGAACGTGGACTCCAATACTGATGTCATTTGTCAAACGACTGTACAATTAACGGTAACGACAACAAGGCATGATGAAAATAATAATAATAATAATAATAATACCACGAGAAAAATGCTAGGATGAGGAGAGAGAAAAAGAAAAAGAAAGAATAAAAATAAAGTAATCTAGAAAGTAAAATAAAATCAATAAATTCCTCCAATTCATTTAAATTTTGTCACCTTAACTTGCCTTCAAATTATCTCAATCATTTTTCAAATTTGAAAAAATATATTTTGGATTTATTGTTCTTGAATTGACTTGAAAAAACTTTGATCAATCTATGATTCTTGAACAAGGGGATGAGATTTGTAGAACTTTGAGAACATATTGAAACAAGATCATGAGGCAACAATCGATCAATTTGCATTAATGAATAAGAACAATACTCATTTGATCCTCCAAATTGCACAGTATTCAACATGAAATCAGTCTCAAATTCAATGTTCATAATACTAAAATCATCATCAATCAAACAGAACGACACTAAATCTTCTTCAAATTCTAAGTTCAATGTTACCATCTCTTCTTCTTCTTCTTTTT